AAGGCATTAAACAATAACAGACCAAAAAAGATCTTTTACTGTGATCTGAAATATCTAAAATTCATGAACACTGCTTTGTCATTCCCAAAGGGAATAGAATAAAAAATCAAAATACACTGTACATACCTCAAACCCAAAAACAAGTTGCACTGAGGCACCCTTAGTGAGTGTGCTATAATAGGCATCATTGATGAAATATAGGTCCAACATTGCCATTAGGGCACGTAATGTCCGCATCTGTGTAATGTCCGCACCGCTTTTTTGACACAAAAATCTGGTAAAAAATGCAAATTGAAGCTGTCGATTTCATTTCACGTAAGCTAATGTCGTAATGGCCGAGAGCATGTCGCATTGTGTATAACGTACAGGTACCATTCAAGAATTCACTTAATTGTTTATAACAGTTATTCTCCATAATGGTACAGTAAGCTTACCGGTATGACAAGTCCTCATTTCGATAATTGGTGTTTTGATAAGGGTTAGCCCAGCAGTGTTATAAACAGCTTGGGTCGTCTCCTCACCTCGAGTGTGAGTGAGTGAGAGCGTGTGATTAGCCAATTAACGATAACTATACAGTAACACGACCCGCCCACGTCCAAGCCAACTCCGAGCATCCTACATTGGCCGTAAACACGGGGTAACCCACTTCAAAGCTTCAATGAACTGGTGCTACCGTTTCATGAAACTATTGCCCAACGCCTCCCTGATGATTATGAAGACAAAATAACATCATTTCAGAGCTTCATCATCAACGCCAGAAAGAAATTTAATATTCCTCCCTTGTCATTTTCCTCTATATCTCTGTAATGTCCGCACCCCCATTTTTGGATTGATTTTCAGTGAAAAAAAGTGCGGACATTACATGGGTTTTTACGGTAATTAAGAAAATGACAAATGATGACTGAAATGTACAGGTATCAAATACTTTTATTGCTTACATGTACTAATGAGCATAGCCTAAAATCTGTACCATGTCATATAAGCCAGCATCTCATTACAAGCATCATTCTAAATTCCATCCAGACAGAATGAAATCTGTGAAGCGTTGGACAGGTTTGCTTCCGTTTCATTTTTCATCCTTTATTCATATAAATAACTACACTTTCTTTGCTATTTTTTTAAGTATTGGTATGGGTGAGCTGCAAGGTTGTATGGTTCAACTAAATGTTGCTACATATGGTAAGTTAAATCTACATCCGACTTCATGTTTACATATTAAGCTTACACTATTGTCATAATTAACATTCAATGATTGTGGTTATGGAAAGTTTAGAATACATTTGTTCCTGCAAACACTTTTATATTTCAAAATATGTTGCTGAAATTCCATTTCAATTTTCCAGTAGACATGAAGATTTCTGTACAAGAGTTTGCATTATTTTATCTGGTTATAAAATCAAACAATTGCCATATTGATAGATACAGTAAAACCTGCCATAATGGACATGTTTATTCAGCGAACACCCTCCTTTAACAGACAGAGTGCTTAGGTAACGACATACATTACTATATAACACTAGAAATGTTCATTTCAAATAAGCAGACACCTCTCTTATCTGGACAACGGACACCCATGTGGGCCCCAACATACATAACTTCTTTATAAAAGACCTTAAATTGGTGGACAGTCATTGTATGATCGATTTTAAATTGCCACCAACATTCGCCCAACAAACTTCTATCGAGAACAGCACTAATATTATCATGTGACACATGCTAGAGCGACAAGCTTCCCAGGTAAAATTAAAACCTTCGGACTTAAATAAATAAACTTAACTGTGATCACTGTTCAAATCATTTGATCATGTTACAGGTCATATCAAATCTTTTAAAAAATTATTTTTATAAATTTGAAATATTTTATCATAACCTTATATGTACATCGTAACATTGTTTATTAAATGACTAGAAATGATTTTATGTAAGGAATATGAAATTTTTGACAGTCAGTGTTTGTCCTTAATTCAGCAGACACCTATATATAATGGACAATTCGCTTGATCCAGTAACTGTCCACTAAACACAGGTTTAAATGTAATTCAACTTACATGATACTCGAGCATGAAATTTCACAGAAATTACTGGACTCCTCTCCATCTACAACAGATAAATTATTCATCACTAATACAGAATAGAACATTAATAGTTTTAAAATGTTGTGTATGTAAAGGTAAGAAAACAATATGAAAACAACTATGTACATCAGCATTTAAAGATTTTGCTTTAGACCATATCAGCACTTGGAATGATGTAACCACAGTAAATACGATTAGCTCTGGCATATTTTTATATGATGTTTGGAGTAAAAGTGGTGATATAGGAACAATGTAGTTAAATAAGTGTTATAAGCCAAGAAATTAGTTTTAATGAAAAACTTTACTGGCATTGAGAATAAAAATCAATAGAAGATTTGAAATGAGTTATTTAAAATACAAAATACAGTACAGGGAAAATTCCATCAACTAACAATTGTAAAACCATTTAGGTTCTAATGCAAATACATCCAAAATCCCAAAGTCTCTTTACTAATTTCACTTACATAGTCAACCCGGTCCTCAGCTAGCCAGTGGAAACATTTTAAGAATAACAAAAGTGTAAACAAAGCCACAAATCTTGGGCTGAAATCATCTCGAAACACTGTGAAGGCCAGGCAGGTCTCTGTCACTGCATACCAAGATCGCTCTATCAAATGCTGCAAAGTATCATGGAGTAATAAAAATGGAGGCCATTATCAATCTAGGTCTCTGATAAAACATACTTGAATATGTTCATTAACATCATTTTGACATATCAATTTATCCCAACCACAAAAACATTTTTCTAATATGCAGGATATATAAAATTACAAGTCAAATCACTTCTGAGGATATCTTTTCAAAAATTATTCAACTTTTCTTTTTCTTCTTTCCATTTATCTCTTCCTGATCAACTCATTTTACAGATTTACCACAAAAGTATTCTATATTAACATAAAATGTGTTTGTGATATAAAGTAGTCCAATCAGAATCAGGAAATTGGAATATGCCATGTACTGGTAACAGAAGACAGAGCAAGCGTCTCAGGCCAATGAAAAATTTTAATTATAGGCATGGCCAACATGAAAGACAGCTATTGATTGACAGCACAGATAGTTCTCATATGTACAGAAAGTATTTTTTTCAATCTAGTGAAACATTTTTATTTGACAGATAGAATTTATTTCCTATGTTATTCCAAGGAACAGATACATGTAATTGAATTCAAAACCTTCAGTAAGACAGACATTATCCTCTGAATTATTGATCCGTGCAGATATCCTTACTGATCATAACCCCTGGAATTTCGCGGGTGGACAGACATTGTTTAAACAAGAATCATTCCCCTGGTGTGTGAAGAATTTGATATCATTACTCCTGGTAATACCATTTTAATTGGATTATTTTGTTTTGTAATTTGCTAAATTACAAGTACCTCCATTTCTGCAGCACGCAGCTGACCAAAGAAAATTTTCCTCATTAATTTTCCCATCAGGATGACCCCTACAAAAGCTTGTATATACAGCATCTGAAACCAAATTGATACACCATTCAATATCTGTAATAAAAGGCACAAGATGTGATGCAACATGGCATAAGTCTTTGATAATAAGAGATATGAAACAAGTTATTATATCCATATGCATGAGAGTAATAGAAGATATAGCTTAATATTTCAGTTAGATCTTGCACATGAATTCAAAATACTTAAATTTCATTTTCAATACATCCAAGCTGATATTCTTGTAAAGATAATCAACCATTTGTAGAATAATTGATATTTTAGTCTAACAATTCTGTTACTGTCATTATGTAGGGAACTTGTAATTCAAATCTGAAACTATGACCATAACCTACTAATGTCAACAGTTAACTAAAACTTTTAAGGATGTTCTCTGAGAAGACAAAAAAATTCCAGTATTAAAACTTTTTTTTTTGATGATGGTCTTTTGGAAGGATTGATGTTAACAAATAGATTAAAAGCAAAATATCTTTATGTTTCTGCACTGCTTTTTCTGGGACAGGCATCAGAATATGAGTAACAGGAAAACAATCATTTTCACACATTGTTCAGTTTTTTCCCTTGAATAACAGACATTTTCATGGAAACCTTTTTAAAAATAAATTTTCATCCTCCAATACAAGGTAAGGGTATGGTTCATGTACAGTCGAACTTCGTTAACTCGAACTCGGAAAACTCGAAGACCCCGTTTAACTCGAAGCACTTTGTCGGTCCCGGCAAAATCTTCTCTTTATTCTAGTAATCAAAACTCGGAAAACTCGAATTCGGAAAACTCGAAAAACTCTGTTAATTCGAAGTAAAAATTTGGTCCCAACAACAAAACATATACTGAATATGATCGGAAAACTCGAAGTATAAAGTTTGTGCTGGTCAATTACATTGCTGATGCGCTACGCCGTTTTGCAATTTTACCGACAATAGGCTTTACAAGTGAATATTAATAAACAATACTGCAATTAACAATATTCATGTTTTAGAAAAGTGTTTATTGTTATTTAATTGAATGATAAAAGGTAACCGTTAGATCTTATAATTGATAGATATCGGCGATAAAAAGTGAAGTTCTACTCACATTGCGTAATTTCCGTGTCTGTCAGCCATAACAAACACCGACCTGTGTATACACTCAGTGAAGCGGAACTAAGCTATAGAAAACAATCACAACACTGGCCCGGTACTAGGCTTAATGTTTTTACAGGAGTACGCATGAAACGGTCACCTGTGCTCAATTAAACCGACAAATGAGTGAAACAATTATTTAATTAGCGTCGAAGTACTTAGGGCAGAATTAGTGAGGAGATGTCATGAGTGTCACATAGGGATAAAAGCAGGGGTGTTTCTCAACGAAATCATACCCGTTTCGAAATGTCGAAGTCAATTGAGCAATCCAACGAAGGACCCAGTTTATCCGGGGGGATACTTGGATCGATTGATAGGGCGAAGACCGGCGTAAAGAGGAAGATAGAGACGAAGACAGTCGAGACAAAGTACAGAGCGATATTAGCCGTGGAAAAGGGAGACAGGTCAAAATCTGACATTGCTAGAGAATTCGGCATCCCAGCAAATACTTTATCGACATGGTTGAAAGCAAAAGAAAAGATCATGACTGCATACAGCAACGATGGTATAAGCCCCAGCAGAAAGAAGGTAAGAACAGCCAAACATGAAGACACCGAGACTGCGCTACTAAAGTGGTTCACGCATGCCCGAGACAACAACCTTCCGGTAACCGGCCCGATGCTGAAAGCTAAAGCCAAGGATCTGGCCGAGAAGATTGGAGAGCAGAACTTCGCCTGCTCGTATATAGCCAAAAAGTGACAAAAAGTACAAGGAACGTCAGGAACATTAAAAATCTTTGCACCAAAACTCATGAACTCGGCTATCTCGAAGACTCGGATAACTCGAAGTATTTTCGTGGTCCCATCGACTTCGAGTTAACGAGGTTTGACTGTATATTAAGAAAAAAATACTGTGAAAATGCAAAATTTTCATTTAATTCACGGAGCTTTAACCGGCATGACTAAAAAAATGAAAATGTTCCAAAATTACTAAATTCCTTAAGTTGATCATCTTCTAATATTAAATTTTTATGTTTTGATTGATGAATTTTTGAGAATACTTCCATGATTTCACACTTTATTTTTCGCAAGTTCCACCCCAAAGCTAGTTTTTCAAAGATCCTAAAAATTCGTGAAAGTTGTCCACCGATTTGCAAATTTGAAATCAGTTATTTGTGGTGATAATTCATGCAAATTTACTCAAAATCTACCTAAGAATTACTTTTAAAACATCAAAGTTCATCTTTTATATCTTCAATCTTTTAATGTCAAATTGCTTGTTATTTGCTAATTTAATATATCATCTAATCTACAGCAAGGTCTTGCAGAAGCAGTACTTGCCGCATATTATATAGAGCAGAGCAATTTAGGTAAAATGTCTTGTTAATACATAACGACAACGGTGTGTAATGTAAAGCAAGGTCCATGGTCTCTGCTCCCTGAGAAAAGCTATTGACTTTGGGGAGTGATCGCACCACAAACCAAACATTTTCATCTGAGGTTACAGGCTGCAAACTATGCCGTACAAAGTATGGTATGCAACAATCACCAACCCATTCTCCACATTTTTTCCCAGAAATTTTCAAAATAATCTGCTTTCCATCTTCAAAAATCAGCATGAAGAAATACTACAATCTACCTAGGAAATGCATGCAACTGCAACAATCAGGACTTGGCGAGAATAGCCTTGGCTAGTGGGATTTCCCTTAAGTCAAGCTGTAGAGTGTTGAACCCTGGTGAATGCATGACATTTTACATTACCCCTTCCTATTATAAATTTGGTGTTATGACTAGGATTCAAACTTTGGCAAACTGACCTGAACTCTCCTACTCCCTCCATCACAATGTCTTTGACCCTGATGACAACAATACCCTAGACTCTATATTTCTAAGGAAGCATCTCGGTTTCCTACAGCTGTTACATATCTTTGAATTGGTCAACAGCATCAATTCCGTTACAGGAATGAGTAATGAATAACAACCTGTCACCACTGTGGTTCTACCTGAATACCCTTGGTCTCTTGCCACATACCCTAACAATGTAACGTTACTGACAATATAAATATTACGTCGGCATACAATAAGAAATTCTACTGTCACAGACCATAAGCTCCAATTATACTGTCTTTATGTATCAATATTTACATGTCTTATATCGATCACGATCGAGCTCCAATGTCGAAATACTTTTTTAAAAGTCTGTTTATAATAAATGCAAGTGAAAAAGACTTAGAAGGCAATAAAATGGCTCGCCAGTTTTTAAGATCCCATGTACCGGTCGGGGCCCTATAAATAATACACGTAACACATACCAGCCTTACTGTTTACAAGTTATACCGATATGACAGTAAACTTTACTTACGGCCATACTCGGGTTAGACTTTGTTATATAAACAACAGAAGGATAAAACTGCTTCTTTTGGTAATATGCATTTCCCACGACAATTGATGTCATGACAAAGCTAGCTCCTGTTAACAACACCGCCTTCATCTTGTGATTTTTGGTTGCAACTTCACTCAAGCCTTGATTCCAAGATGGCGGTACTTCCGATGTGGCAGTAGACTAAAAATAGTAACGACGTCTAAAAATAGTCAATTTCACGTGTCTCCCTTCCACTGGTGTAAATATTACCGTTATCTGCGAAAAGAAATTATTCAGTAGAATTCTTGGCAGTAACGTGTACATTTTAACCGATTTATGTAAATTTTAGTTGATTGAAATTTAAACAGTACTCACTGACAAGCAAGAACAGAAAACAGATCAGTATTGATTGAGATGAACCATAGACGTGTCACTGAAACGATGTGGTGTACTAACAACATAAGATGATTATAACGTTATGACTACAAACTCAGACGAAAACATGGTGCAATTTTCATTTTCTAAATAAGATCAACAGATGTTCCAGACCAGTAAGCGGTTTTTGCTTTATTGACGACATTGCCATTTTAATCTTTACTAATCCATCATACTTTCTGGTGTTTCGGAAATCTGTTTGTCAATAACGACACCGCCATTAAGCATACGAATGGGCATCGAGCACTTCAAGCTTAATATCGCACACGAAGAGAGAATATATAATTACTCAATATGTCGTGATGTTGGCCATAATTCTTTACCGTACTTAGTTTCCAATAAGTCATCCCACAAAACCCTGCAATGTTTTTAAAAATTATTTTTGCCAGCTGATCATATAAGTCGCGGATCATGGATATTGGGGCTTCGTCTAAGGCCAGGTATATGGCCAATCAGGGATGCAGCCCTCAAAAGTTGGAAAGTTACGCTTTACCTGTTACCTCTTCATAGACACCACTTGTTCGCTTATCTCCGCTAACAAGTGGTGTCTATCAGGATGGTAATTTGTTTTACGAAAACGATATGCGTGCAACAGTGTATTTGCGTATAGGTAGTTATACACATGGATGCTTGTCGTCCGCTTATGATATTTTTCAAAACCTCTTCGTGCTATTTCTCGCGAAGAGCTCTGGATATAACATTTTTCCTTGTCCACTGCTGTGCAGTTCCAATTTTAGGACTGCGCCTTCGATTACATAAAACAATCGCTTCTTGACTTTGGACTGGAAAGGCTTTTTGTAGCTATTTCTTCGAGGAAATGAAGGGATCCTTTTCGCAAATTTCGTATATGTATGTATCGAGAAAAAAATCTACAAAAAAAGCATGTATATTGAGTTTCCACAAAATTACCAAACAAAATTGATATCTAAGTTTTCGTTGGTGCTTTCTTGTCAACGTTTAGTTTTGCGGTTTCAATGTCACGTTGTATTTTTTGGAAAAAAAGGAGAAAAAATGCTGTTTATAAGAGATACGATACCCTTCTCTTTAGGTCTGTCATCTAGCAAAAACATTACAAAAAAACAAATGGTGCGAGCAGAGACGTGTTATATATGTCTCTGGTGCGGGGTATAACCCCAACCTTTTAACAAGTACTTTTATTAAATGTCCGCAATTCGTATCTGATCGAAGTGACTTAGACCTAAAAGCATATGGAATTTCGTTTTATTATTTTCGTAAAAATGATCGGCTTGACCAGAGACATATATATGTTATAGAAATTGACTCAGAAACTGGCTGTTATAGGTCTGCTATAGTGTCGATGTGAAGTTCTGGTTCCGATAGGTGAAATGAATTGTTATGTCGTTAATATCAGTTCTGATAAGCTCTTCCGGAAAATCATAATGGACGGTTATAACACGGCCTATAAATAGTCGGAAGATTTTTGTCATAAATATAAAAAAAAAAAAAAAAATCAACGCGAATGCCGCCACAGAGGACACTGCATTTCACCAGGGACCTTACAGTTCATATAATTATACATGTATACATATTCTTTGATTCACAGTACTGCAGTACCAAAGGTTAACATTTTATTTATTCACAATTCGGGAAATGCTTAGTAATATGCACCGGAAACTTTGTATAACATGATAACATTCGTCGATACATAGTATAGTGTTTACTGAGCACCTAAATTCATAGATTGGAGCGTTTCGTAAGGACAGTTACTTCCCTTGAAAGGAACTGTTACTGGAGTCAAAAAAGTAAGAGAAGCAGAATGGATGACAGCCGGCTACGCTGTATGAGCAAGACGATTGAAAATGAAAGATTCAACGATGAAGATAACCCAACAGATTCTTCGTACGAGCAGGTGATTATTCTCGAGTAAAATCGGACAAAATACCAATTGTTATCGATGATATTTTCTCTGTTTTCTTTGTTCGAACTTGAAAATGCCTGTACCGCACTTTCGATACATCGGAACAGCTGCACCAAATATCATTCTGTATCTGTGTTTTTGTTTATTTTTCGCATCGACGGTTATATGTCTACATACGACATACTTATAGCATAGTATTATATAGGACAGCTATCTTTTAGAAGTTTGTATTTTGATTTTGATTTTACAATTAGTATAAAATACACAAGTTTTACTAATAAAAATGATTGATAGGAACAGGTGTGGATTTAGATTACTCGTATTGTTTGGACATGATGGACAAGTCCAGATGCTAAGCAGCACTGGAATCGGACTTGTTTGTCAGTGAACCTTTAAGCAAACTGACAAGTTCAACAGCTGCAGAAACAATACATACAATGAAATCAACATTTATATTCTAAAATTAAAGTTATTGTTTAATCATATACTACTGACTTGTGGATCTTAACACGGTCAGTCAATAAGTAATATCACATAAGAGGTACAGTATTTACTTTTTTCAATCTTATTCAATATTTGAATATATGGCTGATTGTTTACAAGGATTTTTAAGGTGCATAAAATCAGTGATGCCAACAAGTCATATTCCTTGTCATGAAAAATTTGAAATGGAAATCATAGGAAATCCCAATACATGTTTATCGCCATAACACTCAATGTGCTTTATAAATTAGCTGCATAGATCAGTTGAACATTGGACTAATGCAGTCTTGATCATAATGCTCAGGTGAAGTTGTGTACATGTCTTTGGGCAGAATTCTTTCTCTGTATTTGCTCTTGATGACATGTGATGGGGCTCCAGCATGATGTGCAATGAGGTAACCAACAGCTGACTTAAGAACACCCCATTTAAGAAATTACCATTTAAGGGGAAAAAAAAAATGATTTGTGAAATGACTTACTTCTGAAATAGTTTTTTTTCTATATACTTCAGATACATGTTGAAGAATCAGTTGCAAAAATATTTGGACACTTTAAGAATAGACTTGAGTTGGATAATAGGTAAGTCATCATGCTCGAATATGATTGAATGATTTGTAAAGTGTGGCTCAGTAAATGTGATATTAAAGCATATATTATTTATGAGCATTAAGACATTGAAAATATTATATATCTCTTTTTTAATTTTCTTGAAAGGAACTGAAGTGCTATAATGAACAATCTAATTAAAAATTTGATGTTTAGTTCATCTCAGTATATGGAATAGTATAATTTGTATGTAGACACACCTGCAATGAGTTCACTGGTAATACATTGAAGAACAGTGTACAATGTATTTGTTTTTTCCCCAAAGAACTTTTATCATATGACTTAGAGTGGGTTAATGTTCAAACCAATAAGTTGAAATGTAGGTTCTGATTCCAGAATTAGAATTTTCGTCATGGATATAAGAGCTTAATTCTCTTTCAGCTTAGAAGAACAACCTGTGCTGAATAGGCAGTCTCATATACCATTTCTGTTGAAGGGGTTAAAAGCTCTGTCACTATCCTATGAGGTAAATATTCCTAAGTTAGGTGTTTTTTGCTTCCATTGTAATATTTGTCATAAAACCAGGATACACATGTAGGTTTGGTTGTGTTCAGTTATGCACAAGTGGTAGATTAATGGGATCTTGCCCTAGCTTGAGGGTAGCACAGAGAAATCTCTATCTGAAAAGGAGATTCTTGATTATCTAACACAAGGCTTTGCCAAGTGTTAGACTGACAGGAATCTCCTCTGAGGGTAGAGAATTTTTGGTTCTACCCTCAAGGTAGGGAATGATCCTTTTTATACCCAATTTTCCCCTTAAACGTAAATAAGCAAATAAACATATATGTTGCATTATAACCATTGGTGTAGTAATTTGCATTTGAGGCCCGGATGACAATTGTTAATGATGTCAATGGCCCCAAGCCTGACATGTCAACAGCGGGGTAAGATAGAGATATCTTACCCTCACTTGAAGTGGGGATATTTCTGTCCAGTGGGGTAGAAAAATAAATCAGAACTACAGCTGTGGCTTAGCTATACTACATTTGCATATACATATCAAATGCAGTTTGTGCAACTGATAATTGGAATAAGACTTTAAGTTTTGAAAATAATTTATGGATCGTCCATGTTGATGCATGTTTTGGATAGGACACAAAGGTCATGGTCTAGGTATTGATTCACATCCTCATTATTTGAATCATTTGTTAGCTCTCCATCAGTACTGAAAAAACTTAACCTCAGGCATTATGATGTTTTGAACGGTAGACATGATTAAGTTTACATTGGTGAGGTTAAAAATCACAATGATCTGAAACTGATCAAATCTTAGAAATGCACAATATAATGCTGCATTTATCAAATTATCAATTAACAACACTAATATGGAGATCTTTTGTTTATAGTGTCTAGATGCAAGTCGACCATGGCTATGTTACTGGATTCTTCATAGCCTTGAGTTATTGGAAGAACCTCTACCTGATGACACTGTGTCACAGTAAGTTATCCTGAACATGTCGTCTCTATTTTTTTCATATTTCGTTTGCATGGTTTATTTCAAGAGTTATATGTAGTAGCAGTGATTCATTTGAAGTTAAATTAAGTAAAAGTTTCGTTTGTAGTTTACCATAACTTGAAGATTTTGAGCATAACTTATATTGTTTATGAGAAATGTTTTCATTTAAAGCTTTTGAATTCTTTTCTTTTAGTGTTGCACAATTTTTGGGGAAGTGTCAATGCCAAAGTGGAGGATTTTCAGGTATTGTTTAAAATCATTTGTTCATCAAGTAATAAGTGTACCATCAGGTAACAAGGAAGAACAGTAAAATAACAGCAAATAATACACAGTAAGTGTTGACAAGCAATGACTTGGTGAAGAGAAAAAGTCTTTCACTTTGTCTTTATCTCCTTTAGCCATTAAAATATTCATATGTAAAATGTATGTATTTGTATGTATTTTGGCTGTATGTATATGAAATGTTCTGTTTGTTAAAGGGGGACCAGGACAGGAAGCACATTTGGCTCCAACATACGCAGCTGTTAATGCATTGTGTATCTTAGGTACAGAGGAGGCCTACACAATCATAGATAGGTAAAGTTTGAATGTAATATTGAGAATAAGTGGAACTAAGAATGTGTAGTCCTGGTAAAGTTTACATGTAGTATTGGGGATGAGAGGAACTAAGGATGTGTAGACCAGGTAAAGTCTACATGTAGTATTGGGGATGAGAGGAACAAAGGATGTGTAGACCAGGTAAAGTCTACATGTAGTATTGGGGATGAGAGGAACTACGGATGTGTAGTCTAGGTAAAGTCTACATGTAGTATTGGGGATGAGAAGAACTAAGGATGTGTAGACCAGGTAAAGTTTACATGTAGTATTGGGGATGAGAGGAACTAAGGATATGTAGACCAGGTAAAGTCTACATGTAGTATTGGGGATGAGAGGAACTAAGGATGTGTAGACCAGGTAAAATTTACATGTAGTATTGGGGATGAGAGGAACTAAGGATGTGTAGTCCAGGTAAAGTTTACATGTAGTATTGGGGATGAGAGGAACTAAGGATGTGTAGACCAGGTAAAGTATACATGTAGTATTGGGGAGGAGAGGAACTAAGGATGTGTAGACCAGGTAAAGTTTACATGTAGTATTAGAGATGAGAGGAACTAAGGATGTGTAGACCAGGTAAAGTTTACATGTAGTATTAGAGATGAGAGGAACTAAGGATATGTAGTCCAGGTAAAGTTTACATGTAGTATTGGGGATGAGAGGAACTAAGGATGTGTAGACCAGGTAAAATTTACATGTAGTATTGGGGATGAGAGGAACTAAGGATGTGTAGTCCAGGTAAAGTTTACATGTAGTATTGGGGAGGAGAGGAACTAAGGATGTGTAGACCAGGTAAAGTATACATGTAGTATTGGGGAGGAGAGGAACTAAGGATGTGTAGACCAGGTAAAGTTTACATGTAGTATTAGAGATGAGAGGAACTAAGGATGTGTAGACCAGGTAAAGTTTACATGTAGTATTAGAGATGAGAGGAACTAAGGATATGTAGTCCAGGTAAAGTTTACATGTAGTATTGGGGATGAGAGGAACTAAGCATGTGTAGACCAGGTAAAGCTTACATGTAGTATTAGAGATGAGAGGAACTAAGGATATGTAGTCCAGGTAAAGTTTACATGTAGTATTGGGGATGAGAGGAGATAAGGATGTGTAGACCAGGTAAAGTTTACATGTAGTATTGGGGATGAGAGGAGATAAGGATGTGTAGACCAGGTAAAGTCTACATGTAGTATTGGGGATGAGAGGAGATAAGGATGTGTAGTCAAGGTAAAGTTTACATGTAGTATTGGGAATGAAAGGAGATAAGGATATGTAGTCCAGGTAAAGTTTACATGTAGTATTGGGGATGAGAGGAGATAAGGATGTGTAGACCAGGTAAAGTCTACATGTAGTATTGGGGATGAGAGGAGATAAGGATGTGTAGTCAAGGTAAAGTTTACATGTAGTATTGGGGATGAGAGGAACTAAGGATGTGTAGACCAGGTAGAGTTTACATGTAGTATTGGGGATGAGAGGAGATAAGGATGTGTAGACCAGGTAAAGTTTACATGTAGTATTGGGGATGAGAGGAGATAAGGATGTGTAGTCAAGGTAAAGTTTACATGTAGTATTGGGGATGAGAGGAGATAAGGATGTGTAGTCAAGGTAAAGTTTACATGTAGTATTGGGGATGAGAGGAGATAAGGATGTGTAGACCTTACATTTATTAATCATGATCTTGTCAACATTCTTTATGTTAGAGGAGTATGCAAGGGCAGTGATAACTCAGTCAGTGTTACCCTCAGCCTCCGGATAAAATAGAGAAAATAACAATTAACTCTTGTCTTCGGTTCTAAACTGTATTAAGACTGGAAGGTACGAGTAGACGTGTGCCTAGCTCGGAGGTTTACATTGGACTGATTAAAACATGCATGATACAGACAATTTACAGATACAATCAAACAGATGAAAGTAATAATTATCAGAGATGAAGATAAGAGTGAAGGAATTCTAAAGTCTGTTTAAACTCTTGAAACTCCAGCAGGGGTCATTAATTGACCTTATCTGGCACACTACAACATTAACTGGTCATCGGCTGGTCACTACGCCTAGTGTCCTGACAGTATGAAATTTATATGGCACGGTACTGGCTAACATCAGACACCCTAAAATTGTATGATGAGCCGGAACACTAATTAAACTCGCCACTCACTTGGTGTCATTATTTCACTCTTAACAGTCAGTTAGAGCATTGGCTTATGTAACCTCAGATGAAGATCCATGGTGTGTAGTTCAGTGTTCCCTATTTACAAAGAGATACCACCCCAGAATGAATCTGGCTGTTCACAGAGCAAAGAAAGAAAGAAAGAAGGAAGGAAGGAAGGAAGGAAGGAAGAAAGAACCACATAGTGTCAATTATAAATTTGATCAGTTCTTTATTAAAATACCACATAATATCACTTTTTAATACGATAAACAGTTCTTTGTTAAGGTACCACATATTGTCACTTGTAAATACAACTAACAGTTCTTAGTTATGGTACAACATAACAGTTCTTTGTTTAAGTATCACAAAGTCGCATTAAACACAATAGGCAATTCTTTGTTAAGGTACCACATAGTGTCAATTATAAATACGATAAACAGAGATAGAAATCATTAGTCAACAGTAGTGTAATTTTGACATTTAAATGAAACTTTTATTGTCATTTTGTTGTTTATTATATCAACAGGGAGTAACATTCAAATGCAACATATTGATTTTATATTTTGTGAGTAGCATGTACATAAAATTTCTCTCTACAGGCAAAAGCTTTATACATTTCTTCTAAAGATGAGGACACCAGAAGGAGCTTATAAAATGCATGAAGGAGGAGAGGTTGATATTAGGTGAGCTGTAATGTGTAATTTTATAATGTAATTTTTTTTTTTAATTTGATATTGTTTAATGAATGGATACTTCAAAAAATATTTGTTAACAAACTTTGCCTATTGGGAATGGATGATAACCTTTTAAATTTCCATAATTAAACATTTTACTCTCTATCATGAAAGGGCAACTTTTTTCGAATTTAAACAATAGTATATAATCTACAGGAAATATTTCCAACAAAGTTCTGTCATCCAAAGGGAATGTGAACTATGTTGTCTCCCTAAAGTAATGAAGGTAACAATGAGGTCATTTCAAGGGAGATAATTGAAATGTTAGCTTGAGCAAGATTTTGTATATGTTTATAAGACTAAGAAATGTGTTAACAATTTCTGTTACAGAGGAGCTTACTGTGCAGCTAGTGCAGCACGCCTGACTAATATTGTAACTCCAGAATTATTTGATGGTACCCCAGAGTGGATAGTAAGGTAAGTCAAGTCTATACTGAAAAGTCCTTGATACTTCAACATTAAAATATCCTTTAAGAAATTTTGCTTTCAGTAATTGATTCTAGTTTACTAACAATGTATTTTCTTGACAGTTGCCAGACTTACGAGGGTGGATTTGGTGGTTGTCCTGGTATGGAGGCTCACGGAGGATATTCGTTCTGTGGACTGGCCGCTCTATCGCTCATGGGACGGACAAGTCTGTGTGATCTCCGTGCTTGTCTGGTATGTATTACTTAGGCAGATTTAATCTTGCTTGGGCTTCACATCAAGCTTGTCTAGCTTTATTCAAATCCAAAGAGTTTCAATGAACAATTGGTGGACCTTTCATGTCAGTGCAAGTCCTGAAAGTCTTTCAGCTGTCTTGCTAGAAACAACTGGGTTTGTTACTACTTGAATGTGCATTCAACTTGTCAAACATTGTTGGAATGCAATAATGCATAGACCATATATAGATATACTGATATGTGTTTTTTGTTGTTGTATCTATTTGATAAACACCTAATATAAACTTTTCTGGAATTAATTTACCTTCAGAGATGGACAGCCAACAGACAGATGCGTTATGAAGGTGGATTCCAGGGACGTACCAACAAATTGGTGGATGGTTGCTATTCTTTCTGGCAGGCTGGTACATTCCCTCTGTTCCACATGGTGTGCTCAATGCATGGTAAGATGGAAAGGCTTCCTCACGTTGATTTAAATACACTGTATTTATATGAAAGAAAACTTGTGTATCACTTACCATGGGTAAATGTGTTCATTTGATGAAATTGTTTGAACAGTCTTTGCATAACCCTTTCATATTCACATTATACCATAACAAATATGGTTTTTTTTTTTCCCGTTTAAATAAGTAAAATCGTTTTAATATATTTTAAGTTTAACCTCTGCCTGATGACTTTCATATTTCTAGATAATTTGACATTTTGTACACAGATGACCACTGCTTGAGTACTGAGCGCTGGATGTTTGACCATGAAGCATTACAGGAATATATCTTAGTGTGCTGTCAACATCAGGGAGGAGGTCTTATTGACAAACCTGGCAAGTAAGTAATAACAGCAGACAGTTATTGACAAACCTATCAACAAGTCATACAAGGACAAAGTGTAGTTTCTCTTTACCCTGATAATGACCGTGATTTTAATGTTTCAAATCATAACAATCTGCACATACTAACAATGGAATATAGAATGCTGTAAATATACAGAATAAAAACGAAATTCACACCATATATATTGCATGTATGCATGTATATAACATGACTTTTCAGACCCTGTACACATACATGTACATGCATTGTGTGAATTTGTATACGATATCTTTAAGCTGTTACCATATTTCAGTGCTGTTCACACTACAATATTGTGGGAGATTTGATTGTGCTAATTAATTGCAGTGTTTGTATATAGTAAATGCAACAATTGTGGATTTGTATATTCATCATTGCATTAATTTGCCTAAAAAAGTGCTGTTGCATTTAACTTTATTTGTGTCAAATTACATACATTTACAATATATCTAGAATGTTAAAGCCCTATATTGTATATACCTTGAAGATTTTATATCCCAAAGAAGTATAATACTAAAGGTTTAAGACCCTAGAAATAGACATATCAAGATAAAAAGTATGTAATGAATATTTTGGGCAGTGTATGTGTTTTGACTGTTTGAGGACCAGCATCGATCTATTACAGGTCCCGAGACTACTACCACACCTGCTATTGTCTCAGTGGATTAGCGGTGTCACAACATTTTGCTGGTGGAAAGCTTGCTCACCTCCACATAGTAGGATCACAAGACAATGAATTGGTAAATCTATTGCTAAATGTACAAAGATGTAACATAACTACAAAAAGTCCATTAAATGTAATTATTGGTATGGCTGCTGGGAATTTCTTTGGAGATTGATTTTACATTATTTAGAGATTATAGCCATTTATAAATTTGTTTGCAAATATTAATTCCTCAGATAAATAATTTTCGTTTTCAATGAGGAATTGTTTAGCTCCATAGGAGTGAGATAGATAGACCTTAGTGAAGAAGAAAATTGAATTGGCAAACACAGCTTGCTAAGGTTTTTCTTCTTTTACCCTGCTACCAGTGTGATGTTGATATCTCAATATATGTCATTGTTGATGAGATGCATTAAGTTGCTGGCATGACATCACTGAATTATTAACATGATACCACACAATGTATACCAGGGGAATCCCCTCATCTCAGTGTCCGGGTGAGACAAGAAAGGTCACAATCGTAAAACCATTCATACCATGTAAATCGTTCAGAGCAAGAGAAATTGCATTCTTCCCACAGCAAATTCAGGAAACTGCTAATGAAATTTTAAAAAATCAACATTCTGGATATTTTCACCCTTTTTACACATCTTTTCAGTACACAATATCTGACATGTTTATTGCTGTTGTGAAAAGATGTGAATACCTGTCAGTAACAAGACTGTTATAGTTATAGCAAATATGTAATCTTAAATGTAAACAGTACAAGGTATAAACATTTACTTTACAGGTTTATTAAAAAAGCATTATCTATAAAAACCATTTTGTATTGCAGAAACCAACACATCCAGTATTTAATATAGGTGTGGATGCAGTGGCTCATGCTAACATGTACTTTAACAAGTTGCCCCTACCTCAGGCACCAGATGTATGACCAAAAGATGTCACCCTGCATTATCAGTGTCTGTCCCTGGCCAGGTTACTTGCAAAATTGTATACATAGAAATCAACAGAGAGAAGGCGAAAAAATGTGAAAGAAAGTAAACTATCCCAGACAACAACAGTCAGCCAGACTTCTGTTTTTGAATTGTATGGTAGTGGACAAACTTTCAGTGGATGGCTGAGGAATCATCCTTAGCTTGATTATGTTGAAAGGAAACAGATTCCCAGGATCTTCAGCGCCTCCTATGCTTGACCTAGTTGAGATGAAAATGTGGAAATAATCAACAATGTTATCTACCCCAGAACAACAGGATTGAGATACCAAGTCCCTTAATACCTATAGTTAAAAATCCATGGAATTACACCCAGCAGTGTATAATTTATTGTACTGTAAAATGTTTGCACTTCAGGAAGTCAAGTTTGTTTTCACATCTGCATTGTGTATTTATTCTTTGTAAAGATTCTTGGTATATGTTGTACCTTAACAAACTGACTTGAAGTGATGAAGTGAGATTTTTCTGTAATGTGACTTGTTAAAGACATAAGATGTTTTATTATTTAAAGAAAAATTTACAGAGAGTATACATATTGAAAATTTCACTATCATTACTATCAATAAATTGGTATAATACCAATATAGATTGTATACAATCAGTAATTTGCATATCATATTATGTTCATTTTGTTAGATGAAGATTGGTAAATTTAATTGGTCACATGGTTGTTATTATGTAATTACACACTTTATGATGTACTTACAACCAAAAGGGATGTATATCAAAGATGAATACATGAATATGATACATGATGGTATTTACAAAGTCACACAATACAGTACTTTATTACTGTATGTCACAATTATTGAGTCCAATCAAAATGGTATAATCAGAGAGAATATTGCCCTCGAAATGGAAACAGGTTTATACAGAAAACATTGGATGTTAAAGACAAAACTCAATAGACATATATTTTTGTCATTGTAATGTTCAAGTTAGTAGTTATTGAAATTTTGTGAATAGTGATCTGTTGTTTATAAGTGTATTGTTTATTAGACTGGTTATACACCGACATGTGTCTCAATATCATAACAAATTTTGTGTGAAACTTGTGATTAAAAACAGTGTTGTTGATGTAGACTGTGTCCATTTAGATTGTGTATACAAATAACTTCATATATATCTATATACATTCGAGACAAAAGCGTAGACTTTTGAAGTAAGTATATACCCGGTATTGAAATGATGTTGTGATATACTGTTTAAGAGATGTGTAAATGTGAATGAATGGGTTACTGTAGGTATTTCTGGTAAATACATTTTTTTTGTTATTTTGTATTTGTGTGTGTGGGTTAGATGATTTCGGTGTTCCTGTAGATCAATTACTACGTATGTAGTATTCCAAAATATCATGTTTAAATTAAGAAACTGAGACAAGCCTTGCAAAAAGTCTTATTTTTAAGTAATTCTCCCTCCAACTATACCAACTCTTACATTCATTGACTTATTTTCTATACATTCTGCAGCTATTCATAAAAACAACAAAAAATCATCAATAAGGGAAGTGAATGGTACATTCAGCAGGGTAGTTAGAGGGGCAGAGGTATACTGAAATAGTTGATGGGTTTACATATATCTTCTGTTTACAACTTGTGTATGAAAGTCACATCTAATCCTGATTTAGAACTTGTATACTTATCGCTTGTGTAATTTTTTCAATCTAGCTACGCTTGTAGTAGTCATGCCAAGGTCACAAAAAACCCTGGCAAAATGATTTTGTTTGTCTTATCTGAGCTCGCCACGTTAGAAAGGGCATCTATTGATATGCAAACTGTTATCCAGACAGCTGTTATAGTTTATTTTGGTGGTATTGCAAAGATATGTTCACCACAATCCGAGATTGTAAATTTACATTTATTTACCTTTTCTCTTAGTTGATTCAGTTAAGAGATTTGCTCAGCCATGAAGTGCTTAGCTGTGTATTCTTCATTTTTAATTACAGACATACCGTATATACATGCCCTAAACAATCTCATGAAGCTTTTAGATAGAATTATATTGATGCTACATTTTGTCATCAAGAATATCTGATATATTACTGTATTAATGAAAGTGGAGATGTGCTTCATGTAAAATAAATATTGTTTTACAGTGTTCTACATGAAGAGTATGCATTTGTGTACAAGTTATTTGTCTTATGTTTCATTGTTAAACTGTATGTATTATAAATGTAAAACCAAGTGTCAAAATCATTTTCGTATAAAACTAATTGATTATTTTGTTTTTTATTGTATGTAAGTCACTCACAGTACAATCACTACATTTTTGCTAGTGCAAGATGAGTTCACATTTTATAGGGACCAAATAAGTTGGACCAAATTTCTGCTAAAATTACCTTGGGTCTTGTACTGTCTGTGCTTCAAAATTACATCTAAGAATAATTAGTTCGAAAGTTACCTGACAGAACTTGTTCAATGAATTTTTACCAGTAAATTCTGGTAACTTAAATTGTTTTGTTAAAGACATGTGATTGTTTCCCCTCTCAAACATATTCAATTTCATATATTAATATGATCTTATTATATGAGGGGATGGTATTAAATAGTGGACACTGAACCGTACTTGCAAGAGGAATAAAGATATGGATGAATGAATGTCTGTCTATAATTGATGTGTAATGACCTTCACCTTCTGATTAAATGTTGAAGTACATATTGTTTAGCCTACAATATTTCATAACTTCATATTTAAGTTGCAATTGATGCAATTATGCATGTAGACATTGACATCCAGTGTCTCAGCAGACTGTCAGACCTTGTTACCAACCGAAAAGTCATTAAATTAGAGTGACATGTAGCTGCACTACCCCACATAGGAAACTTTGATGATCAGATACGTCAGTTCCTACATCACCAACAAAGGTATTGTATGATAATCTGATGTAACTGATTATCTTATCATTTAATCTCATCTGATGCGATGATTGATTGTAATTTTTAATAAGGATATCAGTACTTTGATATTGTATTAATTTATGATTTGATGACTGTAAGACATCTAGTACACTCCATGATTAAAGATCTGAAGTTTTGTCATGGCATGTGGTCTGGTATCTGTAAAAAATATCTACATCCTAAATGGATGATAAAACAGAGACAAGACATGGATTAGTAAAAAGGGCCATTTTGACATTCAATAGCTGTTTGATCTAAAAGATGGTCCAAATTAAAAGAAGTCTCTTGCATTATTCAAGATGGCTGTTGCCTGCCATCTTGAAGACACTTTTAGAGGCAGGACTCGCACCAATGAATTGTTTATAGTCCACATATGCCTCATTCATGATGAACGCCATGGCTGTTACCTTGTTATGGCTACTTCACCTAAGTGGAAAATTGTACAAGGACAAGTTTCTGGTAAATGGTTGTAAATGAAATTTGGACCTGTGCCACATTCGAGACACTGACCTAGACAGCCATCTTGAAAATCATGCTCTCTTCTGGAAAAAAATGCATATTGCCATAGGACTTCCAATGATGGTCCAAAATTAGCCTGACTGATCAGAACCTGTGTCACATTTAGATGTCCCTGATAGCTTGAAAGCTTTATTATTAGGCAATATATATACTCTCCTTAACATAAAGTGGTGTGAAGACAGGATTTGAAGCATAAAGCTTTGTGGGAAAAAACCCATTACAGTTGTAAAGCAGTAGAACATATGTGACACAGTACAGCAACAGTTTCAGGATATTGTGTTTCTTATCTCTCCCTGATCAATTTCCTTCTCTGTTCTATAATATATTCAATTTGTGGTAAATATAGCTCTTATTTGAGTTTGAAGTCTTGAATAGGCAGTGTTCACTCAATGACAAATAAACTAGACTATCTTCTATTTTGTTGTAATTTTTTTTCTTTGCATTGATCAGAATACAGTTCGAACATTTTTCCTCTCGACACATTTACATTGGTCTAGTGATGTTATGACAGCCGTAGTCCATGATATTCAATTTGCTTGACACCATCAATATGCATGCTCTAAGTTCAATTACACTGGGAAAGGAAACATACACCAAGGAAAATTGATATCAGTTTTGATGTTGGTATTATGATTTGCTCTTTGCACCAGAAATCAGATCACTTGCTTATTAGCTAGTACCATAAATTTACGGATATAAAGCACACTTTTTTGGGTAAAAACTATTGTGTATAATAGGGGCTGCGTACTATGCACAGGAACATATCATAGGGGTATCTTAAGTTCCAAAATACAATACAATTTAACTGAAGAATAAAATGAAGGTAGGTATGCATTGTTAAGAACTATTTTCAAGAGACTGAAGTGGGATCTTGGTTTTTCAGTGATCTTTATAAGGTATCTTCTCTTATCCTCTCAATTCCCTGGAACACTGAAAATGAGTAATACGACACAATGAAAAGGAAAACCTACTTATGTAGACAAAGATCCTCTAGTTCTTCAAGGAATAGGAATCACAAACTATGACTATCAAAACCAAAGATGGCCACCTGTTTTCTTTTAATTACCCAAGAATTGAACAATGTGAAAATAAAGAGCCATGGGGAAAACCTCATCTCATACTTCTCCATGAAAAGTGAAAACTATTACTGTTACATCCTACATGGATGTCTTTCAGCCATTTTGTTTTTCCAATCACTCTGAAAGTGGACGATGCACAATAGAAACAAGGATATACAATCTGATAATATATCCAGTACTTCTCAAGAAAAATCAACAAGAATGGTTTCAGGACAGATGATGGGTGATATGAACTGTGTACGATCTCACCATTGTGGACTTTTAGTCAAGAATATCTTCTGAATGGAAACTAATACAAGGTCCCCTCTGTATGTACTTTTGCAGGAAAAAAAGGCTTCGTGTAGTAAACTACAGTTATGCCCATATCCTGTCCCACAGAGTATTCTTTGTTGTTTGACCAAATAAAAGAATGAAACCACATCAAATTTTACATATTTATTATTCATTTGTACAACATTCACATCTACCTAAGTCAGGTGTGTCATAAGCCCAGATATACATTTAAACAAGACTGGGTAATGACATGACTCAGTCCAGCTTCTCAAAGATGATCAAGCTGAAACTGGGAAACACTTCCAAACACAGGACTTTTAAGTTCTTGTTGGGAAGACAGAATAAGGAATCTCTGCTTCTTTACAAATCCATTTTTTGATATTTTAAAGATTGGTATGGAATTTGTAAACAAGATAAAACAAAAAATTTTATAATCATAGGCATTCAAATACATATTTACTCAACTGAACGGTCTTTTAATAAGTTTTAAAGCATCAAGGATTTCAATTTCAGATATAACATTTACATACTTGATAAAAGTTCTTCAACCTATTAAAAGCATTTAAGTCTGCTGATAAAAATGTTACTCTTACCTTGGCTTCAGTTTGACAATAGCACTTATGAGCACATACCCTAGCCCAGACACTTCATGAAATTTTCTTTTCAGATATTTGAATGTGTTTGTATAAAGAAGTCTCGACAGATGTTGAAATCAAATTTAATGAAAGCAGGTCAGACTTGGGATTAAAGAGCATTAATTACCAGGTATATACCTCTCATTATTCCACCTGTATATTACTCATAACAGGCTACATTTGTTTATATAAATAAAGCTAAAATACCCAATTTCTTTTGTGCTCCTCATATCTTTATAGATTCTAGGAAGATTCACAATATGACTTGGATAACGATGAAAATCTAATCTAGAAGACATGTACATTATATAACACAGAAGTTTTAAAACAATCATTATCGTTACAAGAGACAAGAATTTTCAATAACTCAGATCTCCCAGTGGAACTGAATCAATGAATCTAATACCAAGTATAAAGAATCATAAATGTATCAGGAAAATGGATTTTCCATGTACAACATTCAAAACAATGGCTTTTATCACAAAGAACATTTGCACCAGATGTTAAAATGATTCTCTTGCAGCATACACATACAGCAATAATCATTGATTTTGGTATCAGTGAGTAAGATATGCATGTTAAGCATATCTCTTATAAATAACAGAAAAGCAAGGTGTAGGAAATCAAAATGATTCCATCCAACATTCAGACACAGTATCCATATAAAAATACAAGCCTAGTTCATTTTCCTGGTACAAGTAATGATGGGAACATTTCCAGGTCAATGTTTGTACCCAAAGGCCTGTTATATCTCCAGGTCAATGTTTGTACCTGATGGACTGGTATATCTCCAGGTCAATGTTTGTACCCAAAGGCCTGTTATATCTCCAGGTCAATGTTTGTACCTGATGGACTGGTATATCTCCAGGCCAATGTTTGTACCTGATGGACTGGTATATTTACAGACCAATGTTTGTACCTGATGGATTGGTAAATTTATAGACCAATGTTTGCACCTGATGGACTGGTATATTTATAGACCAATGTTTGTACCTGATGGACTGGTATATTTACAGGCCAGTGTTTGTACCTGATGGACTGGTATATTTACATGCCAATGTTTGTACCTGATGGACTGGTATATTCATAGGCCAATGTTTGTACCTGATGGACTGGTATATTTACAGGCCAATGTTTGTACCTGATGGACTGGTATATTTATAGACCAATGTTTGTACCTGATGGACTGGTATATTTACAGGCCAATGTTTGTACCTGATGGACTGGTATATTTATCGACCAATGTTTGTACCTGATGGACTGGTATATTTATAGACCAATGTTTGCACCTGATGGACTGGTATATTTACCAATGTTTGTACCTGATGGACTGGTATATTTACAGACCAATGTTTGTACCTGATGGACTGGTATATTTATAGGCCAATGTTTGTACCTGTTGGACTGGTATATTTCGAGCGTACTTGACTGACACTCAGACTGGTTGGTGCCAAACATCCGAGTACATTTCCATACAAACACTACCAGGTAAATGTATCATTAAGTACTACCTGGGTCTTGGATTTTGACTGCTCCTCTGACATATAACTAGCAAAAAAAGGAATTCTAATAAAAATTCATCTAAAATGGCCATTTTCTTCGTCCTTTCTATAAAGAAGCACTTGAGTCAAACAAAGCATGTTTCCTAAATTATACAACATAGTGGCAGTGTTCATATATGATCACTTTAAAATTTCCAAAAGTGCTAAGCTTGATCTTAACGGATGATTACAGATTAAGAATTCAAGCTCTGTCACCAATATATATGTTAGAGATAATGAGATCTGTATGGAGTTACATGCTGACTGTTAGACAAATAATGAATCAATCACCATATCCTGTTATAGGATTAAAATTGAAGTAAAAAGTTATAAAAAAGTAGTTTCTTTTTTCATCAATCTGTACATTATGATTTAGATCCCTGTTTGGCTTCACTCCACATTGATTACATACACACTTGGATTTCCCACACACCAGCAATACGCCTCTGCACTAAGCTGTCCACTTAACCACATGGCCTGCCATCTGATGGTCACGACAAGAGAAAGTATCTAAACTACTTATCCTGTTATTCAGTTTTTAACTTTTTTCGACGGCCTTGTGATAGTTCACCTTCTGCAGAGCTTTCAGACTCAGATCCACCATCAAATGTCAGTGCACTGTTTTTCGAGCTAACTGTGCCCGACTGGGCAAACTGTCCCGTACTCCTGGCTTTGTCTAATCCACGAACTGAAAAAAAAAAAAAAAAAAAAATAAATAAATAAATAAAAAGAAAAAAGACATACTTATTATGTAGAATTACAGTCTATAAAATGGTAAAGATGAAAAACAAAACAAGAAAGTAAAGACCAAAAGCCAACATCACTTACCTGGATATTTCGGTAAACATATGATTATACTGATATACAGAAAATACATGTTCAAAAAAAAGTAAGCTGTATTTTGGAAAGGGTGAAAAATTGCAAAAGTGGAGAGCCCTTGGTGAGCAACTTTTATCTTTCTTTCCAAATTTAAATTGTAGCTTATATTTAAGCCACTGACCATGTATTTTATTTATCGTTTGTCCTATTCAATGCTAGTTTACCGGACTTGGACATTATGCTAAATTGCACCCAAGGACGCTTGTCAAAATAATTACTCTGTACTGAAATAGTTCAACACTTCAATGGATTTAAAAAGCAATTTACGAATTTGCATAAACCAATCTTACATCAAATAAAATAACTTATTCACAGTCATTTGCATTTTAAAATGAAATATCTAGGTAAATCAGAAAGTAATTTGCACAATTAATACATGTGCTAAAATACAGCTTTTCCATCCCTGCCAAACACAATAGGTGTATTTCGACAATGGCAGCACAGTTGCAATATAAATATATATGATTCTCATTTTGGATTCTAACAACCCAGTGCCATCAGGGGAGGGATGAGGCAAATCCTCTGTTTCTATTTATAGAAGACTGAATCATCTCAAGAAGAGAAATTTATACGACACAGTCTGATCAAAGCATATCTAAACTTTTTTTTTAGCAAAGGCTCAGTTACTAAAAAGATTTAGTTAATGCAGACATCTACAGCATAACCTAAATAAACTACCACCTTCTGTTCAACAAAATTTTGACAAAATGAGTTTGGCATTACAACAAATTTTTTATCCCTGTTTATTGTTGTGGGAGGTGTTACTTCTATTGCAAACATTTTTTGTAGATTAATTAGCGAATGAACAGTACATATCTCTTCATTCATAAATAAACCAATAATTCTGATTTTTAATATCTTGCCCAATGGTTCAGACGTTTGGATAAATTTTATCGCAAAATGAGTGACCTTTATAATGCAACTTGCATGCTGTACAAATGGAAACTTTTGATGCGATAAAATAGGCATATGAAGCCTGTTAAAAAAAGTCCTGTTCTGTTAAAATCGATGGTGGTAAGCAAGTTTGGTAGTAAAACTGGTGGCAATACAAATAGCTATATTGTATTACAAAATTTGACCTCTGTACCATTGTCATATCTTTGACCTTTGGTATGAACTTTGGAGTGTTAGCATTGTTGGGCTGTTCTTCTCAAAAGTAAACAAGTTAACTATGGAAAGCTTAAAGTTTAAGAGGCTGGATATGAGATATGTCCAAATTTAAAAATAACAAATTCAACAATGCAAGAACATAAACACAGTATTACAATAGTGCATTTACAATAGGCCGTCAGTTCATAACACACAAGTTTATCCAATAGATGACATTATTACTTACTTTGTTGTTCTAGAATTGAGTTTTGTTTCTTTAAATCATCAATATCCTCTTGATGGCCATGATTTTTCTTTCTCATAAACTGGATATAATCTGCTGCTTTCTTCAGGATCTGAGCTCGAGATACCTACAAGGTATAATGTTAGTGAAACAACTTTATGAAACAAAACCTGAACTGGCTCTTCTTACATTTTTTATTCACTATTACTTACACACAATACTAGATTTCAACAATTCCAAAGTTATTTAAGTTCTCTTCATCATAATAACAAATTGTGTTTTACTTTAAACTGCAAAGATACCACCCCTATTATGGTTTATTTATAATACACATTATGCTTTAAAGGCCAGAGACCTAATTGGCCTGCATAACTCAATCGGTACTCCATGCTTTTTCAAAAATACATTAACATTTTATATCATGCCATTTGAAAGATTTCAGAATTTTGGCTCCTTTGACCTTGAATATAGGACAAGTCAAGATAATATTTTTTAAATATTTTGTCTGACTTCATCTAAGTACGCTATAAGACAAATATCATCATACTAGGCCTTTTGGTTAACCACAAGTTGCTTCAGGGTTTCAAATCATCCAACATCTATGACCTTGAAAATGAGTCAAGGTCATTTTCTTTCCCAAAACTTATTCAGGCTTCATCCCAGGAACCTACTAGCTAAATACATGTATCATGATTCTAGACCTATGGGATCATCAGAAGTAGTTGTTTGAAGGCTTTAACAAAATTGACCAAGCCCTTGCATATAGGTCAAGGTCGTTTCCTTTCACAAAATTTGTCAAGTTTCACTTAAGCAACTGTCTAGTCATGTATGTTCCAAAGCCTTTTGATGATTAAGAAAATGTTGCTTGAATGGAAAAGTAGACACTGGGCAGACAGATAGACACTGTACCACAGCATAAGCTCATCTGGATCAAACTTTCTTGGCCTTTTGGGCCAGGTGAGCTGCACAAAAACAGATTTATTGTCGTTGCATTAACAAATAAGCAAGCAATTGTAAACAAATAAATGGTTTTATAGCTTTCTGTAACATCCTAATGGAAAATGAAAACACAAGAAACTCAAAGATATCTTGGAGCATACATTGATTAGGGCAACAGGAACACATCATAATGAAACAGTCTACAAATTAGACAAATATCTGCAGAGTAACATCACTTAGAATTTCTTTTATAGAAACTGTAACCATGATATTAACCCTGGAATGACAATACTCAAACCAAAGACTGGTGGTTGTAAGCATGGAATGGACTGGTTAACTTAAAATAGTGTATATGAGCTAAATTATAGTTTTCTTTATATCAGATTAGAAACTAAGTTGGTAGATTTAGGACATCTTTGCATTTGAGGTATTCCCAGAGACATATTTCTATAATTTAATCATTCAATTATCTTGTTTTTACTATCATAAGTTTTATTGAATGTATTGATATTCATATGTGAAAGCACTACTTCCTTTCCTTTTAAACCTTACATGAAGGGGAAAGTTCCTTAATGAAATATGATACTTCATTGTTAGTTAATGGCAGTCTCTCAACAGAAATATTGCGAATCACCAAATTTATATGGGATTTCAGTTTTAAAATCTGTGGAATATACATCTGACTGTATGTTTATACTTTTGTACAGTGAAAATCCAAATATGTTCTAGTTACAAACACAAACAATTACCACAGCAGTTTTTCTATTATCATTAAGTCAAATATGTAAGCGTGAATTGAATCTATTCGAACGTTTACGTTTACTTTCTCTCCTTGAAGGGCTGGCACAGAGTCTCGTAGGCTATGAAAACTCTCTTTTATGTGGTCACGTCTTTTCCTTTCCAAGGCATTATGGTGGGCACGTTTCTCAGACTGAAAAAAATAACACTCCATAAAAATTTACATAGTCTATACTTCAAAAAAAATTGTGCAAATGTGCACAATATAACTCGCCTAATTTCTTTCATGGTTTCCAAACACTAAAATCTGCTGTAATTTTACACCCAAATGAAGCATTTTATCATTTTTTCCCCCAATTTACTACCAGTATGTTGTTTTGAAATGTTAATAGCGAGCATGTATATCTAACTTAATCACAAATGTTCCTTTAATTCTTTGCCATTTCGTCTTTAGCTATAATATAAACTGCAGCGCAGAAATTGCTGGAAGAACAAACACAAATGCCAATATTTTGTACTTGGCCAAGTACTAAAAGTGGTCTTAACTCATGGGAATGTCCCTTTAACCTATATATTGCTAGTCACAGATGTTCACAAAGACAATGAGAAGTCTCTTGTACATGTTCAAGCCACAGTAAGAACAGGGTATTTTCATGTCTGTCCATTGCAAATTTGAAGCAATGGTCACCTGAAGTGTGAATTCAACTAAAGGGCCAAGCAGAGATGCTTTGGTTGTAAAAATGGCAGTAAGCAGGAAGAGTATTTTGCATCCTTTTTCCCAATTACATTAAATGTATTTGAATGATTCTAAATTATTCTCACATTGACCGATAATGTCACTGAATTTCATCATAACTATACATGATTGGATCCAGTGACAACAGTGCACATGGAAACATAATAACTATCAATAATCAGAGTGACAACAATACACCAGGAAGCAATAATAACTATCAATAATCAGAGTGACAACCATACACCAGGAAGCAATAATAACTATCAATAATCAGAGACCAGTGACAACAATACACCAGGAAGCAATAATAACTATCAATAATCAGAGTCCAGTGACAACAATACACCAGGAAGTAATAATAACTATCAATAATCAGAGTGACAACAATACACCAGGAATCAATAATAACTATCAATAATCAGAGTGACAACAATACACCAGGAAGCAATAATAACTATCAATAATCAGAGTGACAACAATACACCAGGAAGCAATAATAACTATCAATAATCAGAGTGACAACAATACACCAGGAAGCAATAATAACTATCAATAATCAGAGTGACAACAATACACCAGGAAGTAATAATAACTATCAATAATCAGAGTGACAACAATACACCAGGAAGCAATAATAACTATCAATAATCAGAGTGACAACCATACACCAGGAAGCAATAATAACTATCAATAATCAGAGTGACAACCATACACCAGGAAGCAATAATCAGAGTGACAACCATACACCAGGAAGCAATACCAGAGACCAGTGACAACCATACACCAGGAAGCAATATCAATAATCAGAGTCCAGTGACAACAATACACCAGGAAGTAATAATAACTATCAATAATCAGAGTGACAACAATACACCAGGAAGTAATAATAACTATCAATAATCAGAGCGACAACAATACACCAGGAAGTAATAATAACTATCAATAATCAGAGTGACAACAATACACCAGGAAGCAATAATAACTATCAATAATCAGAGTGACAACAATACACCAGGAAGCAATAATAACTATCAATAATCAGAATCTTGTGACAACAATACACCAGGGAGCATTAAGAATCCAGTTCAACATCTTTGATTTGTTTTCCAATTCCATTCTTCTGTAGTTTAATAAGATACATTATTTGATTTTTTGTCTTTTAGTGCTGAGCACTATATCTGATTCTTTTCACTTTTGTTTACAAACCTATGTGTCCATATGTTAGTATAAAGCACTATTACATCAGAAAGATGTAAATCTGGTTGGTTGACAGAAAACAAATTTTAACTCATACAAACAAATACAGATGATACATATATCTGCTAAACCGAGGATAGTGGCGTAATTTTGAAAAAAACATGCCAAAAGCGCACAGCTAAAAAACATGAGATACTTCGGTTTCAAAGGTGATGACATTAACAAAATGTGCTGAAAAATATCAAACATAAGCCAAGCAGACATGGTTTAGTGACAGTATAACAAACACCATGCTTCATCTAAAGTTAACATGGTGTTGTTGTTAACAGGTTGGAAATGATCAGCAATTGATATTTAAATTAATTGAACATTGTTTATTTTTTTCAAATAAAAAATAAAATCCTTATAAGTCTGATCTGTCAGTCATTTGACAATAAAATATGTACACATATATAATAGTCATAACAAGCTATGTGCAAATTGATCCAATAATTCAACAAATTACACATTTCAAAATAATATATTACACTCCCGTAAATATATATATTCTTATTCATGTGACCAAATCTTTTCACTAGTTCTTTATCTGCACGTAGATGCAAGTTTGACCAGTCTGTTGAAGGTTCACAACTCATTTGCATATGGCTGTTATTGGTCAGGTGTATCCAGTGGTTAGATTCATGTCCCTTCATTTTTTCTTCACTTTTCTTACATGTCCAGCAGTGAAAAGACCCTTATTTCAATGTCTTAAACACCCATTCAACCTGCCCAATCGATTGTTCACTGTGGTTTAAATTTTGGTTAATTATGCAAAATTTTTCACATTGCTTGTATTTGTTGATATATGTGCTTGTGTATGTAAAGTTTATGTTCAATTATTGATTAAGTGTGTACAAGTTATATACTTTTTAATCAAGTTTTTTTGTGTAAAAGGAATGATGCTGCTTTGCTTAATTATGCTTGAAGTGAACATGGCTTTGCTGGTACCAAAGTGAATGTTTAATTGCCTTATAGTGTGAAAGTGAATGTTTCCTGAAGTTTGAACGGCCATTTCATCCACTTTTTACTATACAGCAGTGATTATTGACTTCCACAAAGGAATTCCAGTGAAGTTTCATCTGGTGTAAAGGGGCTTTTGTATTCATTATATTATGTAATTATTGTATTATCATTAAAATAGCCAAAGCTTTTACCTGATGTCTTTGTATATATAGGAGAAAGTAATTACAACCTGCAGTGAACTTAAATGTGAAAGAGTGTCCCAACAGGACTTAAACCACCTAGCTTTGTCTGCTTATCATGAGTGCCAGCAAGAGACTTTTATAGTAGTACCTATTATAAAGTCTAATCCTGCATTGTTGTAGCTATGACAACACTGAAGTTTTATTATGCTGGGGAGGAAGACAGGTATATACCCAATTCTATTACTAAACAGTAACTGTACATATATTACTGGGAATTGGTACAGGAAATACTGAGATAAAGAAAAGCAATTATTCTGAGTAAGAAAACCTTTATATTGTATGTATTATATTAACAGGTGTTAATTATACCTTTATAGAGTATAAGTTCATATACATTAACTGCATTGAGTATAATGCTAGTTTCCTAACCACAACCAAATTATCCGCTTCCAACACAGAGAAAACAGATAACAGTGTTAACACCGTAAACTTATTAAAGAAGATTAAGATTAACGATATAATATCAAATAATGACGTGTACAGTAATCACAACTCGTCCGATTTATACACATGCTTCTGCACATGCGCTAAACCAGATAAGGAATGTGGTACAATTATACTATTTATAACGTCTGATCTCAGTATTTGATTGCCTATTTTAATTCTGAAAAGCAAATAGACAACAAAACTTCTACCTGTGACATAAACTCTGTACCAGCAAGCCCGGAACCAAACGATGTCCCCAAATCATCGTCGTCCTCCTGTGAAAGCAATGAAGTGTAAAAATAACCGAACTTATTAACCTTCAGCTGAAAATGTTGCAGTATATTCACCTCCCAAAACTTAAAAACTTATGTAACATTAAATATGAAGAACAGTTACATATAATCAAGGAATCATACATCACTCTCTATATCCACATCTCTTTCCTCATCGCTCATTTTGATTTCCAACACCCATCCACCGCTCACTGACAGCTAAGATGGCGGAACTAAACAACGCCACGCGGTCTAAGCACGTGCTGTGAAATGTTTATTTGTTGATTCGTAGTAAAATCTTCTAGTGTATTTAAAAAATATATATTCACTGCTTATATCAGTTTCTTATGTTTATATTATATTCATATATATTAAATCAACATCTATATCCTAGAAGAGTGATAAAAAATCAGTTCCTGGTTTTACGACATCTAAATAACCATACGACAGAAGTTATGTCCCTTTGACCACCAAAGCAGCTTCCAAATTCATATTCATTTAGTATCTAAATTTTGGTTTTGACATTGTACAAAAACAGCAGAACAAGTTGGCAAGTATCTGTTTTCCGAACGGCGGGTATCTGAATTATAAAAGAAAAAAACTCGAGCATAAAATTTTGAGAAAATGAAAGTTTTTCGTCCTTAAAATTCCGACATCAAGACTCTAAATAGTAAGGAAAATCTCAAATTTAACCACATTGAAGGGACAATAGACTTAAATGCAATATAGATGAGCCAAATGATATATACACTTTCGCTCTCTGCACCATTGGAACATTTCGTGACAAAATTATAGGTTCCATCTGCCACACCTTGTGCCTTATGGTAAAAATAGATGTACTTCAAACGAATCATGATGTGTAACAGTGTGTTGTACCGTCTTTGACATTGGGTGGCGCTCCTTTGCTATCTTCATATGAGCATACCAGTCTGTAAATTATTGATCCGTTTTTCCCTTCTGATATCCGCTTAAGACCAATCAAATTATTTCGATCGCGCCTTGAAATTAAATAGGAATAAAAATGTTCCAGGGGTGCAGAGAGCGATACTGAGGATGAATCATTATGGCGACGGTTGAAATAATTTTCATTAATCTGCAACAAAAATTCCTACCTGAAAATCCTGATATATGGAACATGCCCTTGAATATGTCATCAACCGCGAGTCTAGTAACATATTTTGACTTTGAAAGTAATATCTATAAATACTTTACATGTATGGATGCTTTCTTTTTCTACAAAAAGATGTTTATTGGGGGAAAGCATCAGTAAGTTGTAATAACTTGTGTCTCATCATACAACATAACTTCGGACTAAAGGGTCCTCGAACTATCGGGCGTTCGGATTGATTGATTGTCAGGTTTTCCGTCTCCGTAACTCTTCCCTCTCGTGTCCGGGTATCGTCTCACCGACGAACGTGTACTGGTGACGGCACCATGGGCTAGTAGAGCTGATCTTACTCTAGTAGTTGAAACATGTCCAGAGGCTGAAGGGAAGATTGGGAGGGGGGAGGGGTGGTTTATAGAATAAATAATAGTTTGAAACCATCTCTAGACCCCTGGACCGGCGTTATCACGCCTTCTCTTTTTCAAAAAACCACAATAGGCAATCCTCATACGGGCCACCGTTTATAATGAAAGACCCATCCGCTGGAATATTGTTAGTGGTCAGATTTTTAGTATATATATTTAGAGAGATAGTTGTGGTATATGGTATTTCTATCGCATGTTTGAAAAGTTACATAAACCCGCGCTTTAGCAAGTGCTTTGGTAACTTTCTATTTATGTTGAACTGACCTGTTCTGTACTCACGTGTGTTTTGTTTACGTCATCAGTTGGGGCATAAGGATGTGACCTTAAAATAAGGGACATACAAAAGAGACAATTTTAGAAATTGCGTGAAGTTCATCCTGTCAGCCAATCAACCATGTTAAATTTGTTGCATTATTATTATTATTATACCACATGTTTTTTAACAGTTTGATTAATTGATGTCTGTGGAGTTCAGTGAATAACACCAACATATTGTAGATGTGTACTTGTGATTCCTATTTTGTCAGAAAAAAGGTCGATATGTAGGGACTTTTTAAGAAAATAATATTTGCATGCTTTTGACACTTATTCCTGAAATGCCTTTATCGAGTAAAGAATGGTTCATACCCATGTGTCGAGGAGGTGTAAGTATTGTATGTGCATATTATAAAATGTTATAGGTTTTCATCCCGCGCGCTTCAACTATAAGCTGACAGATTGTTACGCAGTTGATGTAAATAAATAAATAAAATGGTGTAAGAAAATTGATGTAAGAGGAGTAGCGCTTATTAGGTGCTGGAGAGATGAATAGATAAGGTGATTCCTATGTACGACAGCCCGCCTCCTCCCCCAACCACCCTGTTTGTGAGTAGCAGTGCAGAGTTATCACATCCAGATGTGGAGCGTACTTGTACCTGATCTCACATTTGCTTTTTGTGATGTTTTCAATCATGTGCGTGCAGTTTATAGAATTTATCGCCAAAATCGACGATGGCATGGCGACCACTTTCTCCTCAGATAGTTGTCAAGAGATTATTAGAAATTGGTGCTGGTGAGCAGCGACACACAAAAAAAACATTAAAAATTACACAAAGATTTTAAAGCAAAACAATAGGGACGGTCAGGAAATAGGATACACGGATATTTCTCCCGGATGTGCTATGGATAATAGCTATATAGTGAGAATGGTCTGTGGTTTGGAAAAAGCTAGATATATTATTTAAAGCGAGATTTTTTCTTAACCACATTGATGCGTACAATAAAATGGTGTCACACATGAATAGCAGAAGCGTTAACTGTGGATATCAACTTCGTTATTGTGATGGTTTTAAGACTCTGCCGCTAGTCCCATTTTAATGACACGTCATTTTATATTGTTCTGTTGTAAGCCTGTAAATCGTTTTTAACTTGTACATTCTGGGCATCTGATGTAAATTTCAACTCTTTCTTTCGTATATACACAAATTGAAAATTCCATATTCTGCATTATTAAATGTTACAGTGTATCGACTAGTTGCTTGAGTCTATTGTTACAACATACTGAAAACGTCATCATTGTTTTGTGTCCCTATATCAATCAAAGCTTAAGAAATGCATGCACATCTATGCGATAACGTATCGTCAAAATATCCGAATACGCTTTTCCATTTGTTCATTATAAACACTACCGTGACAGGGTCACAGCTGCGCTTTGAAACTGTATTAACACTACAGAAGCTTATTCTCGACATCGATCTGAAGTCCAGACGCCTTTGCCTCTAGCATTGCTTGGACACATCAGCAATTGGCTAAGTCAAGTAAGTATGTATTTCTTATCATCTTTTCGTTTTGATATACTATTTTTCAATATTTACTCGTTCATATTATGACTGGCATGTAAATAAGACTGAGATAGAAGGAATCATGTTCTTGTTCCTAGGAAGTACTCTTTTGAGCCGGCGTCAGAGTCATGGTTTTGGCCTCAGGGGAGTGAAGTGACAATATGACAATACATGTACATTAGTAGTCACATGTAATGTATTATGTTTTTTTGCACTTTCACTGAGCTGTGCTTTATATAATTTTGGTACTATGGACCAGATAATATTCCGTTTATAGAAAAATAGCCTATATATAAACTATATTTATCCAAATCTAAAATGACTTGAAGTTTTAGTAGATTGGACATGACAATAAACTGATTCGTGTGTACGTAAAAGTCACGATAACAGTCACGATTTCACATAAAACGGTAACCATGGCCAGTATAACAAGTTGATAAAGACTTGATTGGCTTATTTACGTATTTGGATATCAAAAAATATTTTTGTTAAATCTGCCATATGTCCCATCAGCTAGGAGCTTATGTTATTTCATTAAAACAAGTACATTTTTTTCTGTATTTGGTGATACTTAACAATTATTTAGCGAAATATCTTACGTGAATCTAATCATTAAAACTCCATTTGTTTGTTTACATTTTACAATAAATATAAATAAGAGGTGAATATAATTCTGTTGACTTGGGTGTACTTTATTTTTCCTGGTTAAATTACATAATGAACTTCAATATGAAGAAGAAGATAAAAATAGAGCTAAACAAGATATCAAAATAAATATGATGATTGTTTGATCTAGACTAGTTCATTTGTTTGCTGGGTTTATCATCCAATGATTACTGAACAGCAATGGTCATTTTGGGGCATAATCTTTTTGTGGTTAGTAGCTGGTGGCATCATGCAGGAAGTCTGATACGTGCATATATGCCATCCATTATAACTGAGTCAAAATGTGTCTTGCCTAAGGATACAACCACAACAGCACATAACAGTCCATAATCACAGTTTCTTTGAAAAACAAATGATCAGATTATATATATCTACAGGAATCAAACCACAGACCTCAGATCTTCGCAACACGGTTACCCTCAAGGTAATGAAATCTTTAATCTGGTCTTGAATAAAGTATTAGAATTATCAGGTTTTATACTTTTCTGAGACATATAAAGGACGTTTATGAAAATTTTACTGGTTTTTTGTTGCATGAAATGTCATGATTACATGACTTGAAAAATTATTACAAATAAGAACAAACCCATTATTTCATTTACATTCTTATTTATTTCTTCTTCGATTTTTGGGGCACAAATATATGAGTCCTGTGGGGCTCGCTCAGATTTTGAGAACCCACTATATCTCCTTTGAACTGGACTCGTCAAACTCTTGGAAATGATCCTATGGACTCACAAGAAAAAATCCTGCAAAAATTACTATTTTTTTTCAATGTTCATCAGGTCAGCATTCAAATGGCACAAGTTTAATTAGCTTTGTGAATAGCAGTGTAAGATAGCCTGTAATTGTAGCATCTATGTTCATGTTAAATCTTACAGAAACCAAATAGTTTGAAAGATTTGTTCTAAAAATCACTCTGAATGTTCCTGAGCATTTGAAAGATTTGTTCTCAAATCACTCTGAATGTTCCTGAGCATTGAGATGCTCCTTTTAGCAGCAGCACCAGTGCCAACTGCATGATCATGCCATGAGGAATTCCCAGTCAGTTTTTGATCAGCCATCTCTATACAAAACCAATGTTTTCTGGGTCGTGGAAAGGCAGTAAAGAGTCTGATAAAAGGATGTAATCCATAGCTTGTCAATTGCCCTGTAACAAATGGCAAAAATGATGTTCCTGCCTAGTCTTTCACTATGAGGCAAAATGATTGCTGAAGTGTACTGAACATCTTATAACTTAGCTAGCTCAATTAAAATATCACACAGCTAACATTGGCTTTGAAGTTGTGGTGGAAATATGTTTGTCAAACATACTTTTTTGAAGGATTAAAGAATATCGTTCTCTGAAAGACTATGTTGTCAAAGTTCTTCGTCATTTTTTTTTCTGTAGCCTTTCATAAAAGGTCCTGATGGAAATGTAAGATAACCGGTAAAACAATGTGACATAATGCAAGCCACTAACAACAAAATAGCAAGTAGTTAAAAGTTGGTACCAAAAACTATTCATAAACATGTAAACTTAAAGAATTATATATATATATATATATAAATATAAAATCAGAATTTTTGCATTATTCATCCTCTAACTGGTGCATGTGTAAATTCCATAGAATTACTTTCTGAACATACTTTAAAATGATTTTTAACAAAATAAATAATTGTTGAAATAAGCAATTTTACAAATTGTAATGATCAGGTTTATTTACAAAAATTCATAAAATTGCTGTCATATCCATTGAACTTTGGAACTTTATTTCTGTGTGGAGCAGTTATTTTAGTGTTCTTCAGCAGGAAAATTTCATTGTAACATCAATATCAGGTAAATGAAGATAAACAAAGCTGTGGAAGTTTTGATGGTCTGATTTTCAATCAGTGTTGCAGGATATATAGAATACATGGTACGTGCCTTAAAATATAAGCTTCATTTATAGCTCAGGACAGAGAATAAGACACTGTCTCCAGATTAGAGACAATATACCAGAAGGTGGTTGTTATTGTAGGCCCTGGCTCTCATTCCAATGGCAAGGACGTTGTTGTTCAGCTGATTATTACTATTTATGGTTGAGAAAATTGACTTCCCCTAGGTTAGTGTAAGCTGTAATTTCTTTAACTTTCATAAACACACCCAAGAGCTTTCTCATCAGCCTCTGCGTCTGTGTATGGAAGACTGATCAGGGAGAAGTTATCTACAAGAATAAGATATGTTGGTATGTTTATTTTCCTATGTTTATGCACCTGACAGTTTTTGAATTAATGAAATTTCAACTTTTAATATACAGTAATAGAAATGGTTAAGGTGCATTAGAGAAAGCCAACAAAAAATGAAACTGGGTGTTAGACTCATTCAATTTTGTCTGGAAGATGTCTAGAAACAGGCAATAAAGATACACTTTATGTGACTATAGTGCATCTGCTCTCCAAGGAGTGTCTCACTCCACTTTACATTCACTGTTTAACAGTCTTCCACATATTTTTCCAAGCTGAACCACTGTGTTCCACACTGCTTGATGTGGAGAAATCATTTCTGTTTAATCTGATTGCTCCTTTCTTTTGGCACTGTAATTAAGAACAAAATTTAGTATTTTTATGTCCATTCATTAATCTAAGAAACTTATTTTCTTTTTTAAAAAATGGAAATAACATTAATCATTAAAGACATTGTCAGTATTCTGTTGCTTCTTGTACCATCAATGAGAACACAATGATTAGTAGTGATTTTATTATCACTTGAGTACAATGACAGATGACAAATACATGAAAGGTCAACATGTTTGATTGTTTTTCACAGATTTTTGCCCGAACACCAGTCTTTCAAAGATGATTTTATCCATTGTGCTATGAAATGTCTATGTGAAGAGAGATCCCTAAATTGATAAAGATAATAAACATATTATTTTTTTTATAAATGTTATACAAGTATAATAAACACAAACTTTTTTTTTTTTGTAATTATATTTTTATTTCCATTTTAATGTACAATACATATCATCATTATCATCATCACCACACAATCACCATCCTAATCATCATCATCATCATCATCATCATCATCATCATCATCATCATCATCATCATCATCATCATCATCATCACAATTCAATATCATCCTCATCATCATCACACTTATCATCACTATAATCATCCTCATCACACCATCATTATGTATCAATCATCATTATCATCACATCACCTCCACTACCACCGCCAATTTCATCATCTCAAATCAAGATCATTGTCATCATCACCATCATCATCATCATCATCATAATCATCATCACACCCTGATCATCATCATCATCATTACAAATCAAGATCATCATCACCATTTCATTATTATCATTATCCTTATCACCACCACCACCATTATACCCTCATCATCATCACAATCATAATTCTCATTCACTACATCACTACCACACCATTTCACACCTCACAAAATTCAGTAATCTTAACAGCATACATCAACTCCAGGGAGCAGTAACCAAAGATTTCAAGAGATGGTGTATTTAATATCAGAAATGCTGACTAAAAAAAAAAAAGAAAGAAAGAAATGGATGGAAGACCGAGAGGATAAGAATGGCCTTGTCAAGGGTTTGGAAACATCCTACTTTCGTATAAATATATATTATATATTTGAGGTAGAATTTATCAGAATCCGACTACATGTCAATTAACCTTTTCCATTTACTCCATTCTACATCAAACTTCTCCTTAACAGTATCGCCCTTACTAACAGCAATATATTTTTGGACTTTGTAATTGTCTTTAATGGAGTTTACCAATGAGTTTATATGCAAAGAATTATGCAGACACCTCATTCTATATATGTACTGCTTCATGATAATTATAATTTCATTATCTACCCTACTGATATGGGAACTGAAAAAATTCCAAAGAAGAAAGATTTTTCATTAATTGAAAAAGGAATAAGTAATGCCTGTAATAGTATTTCAAAACTTTGTAGTAAATTCTGTACTTCATTACATTCCCATAAAATATGAGTAATAGTTTCTCTTTCAGAGTTACATAAAATACAGAGAGGTGAGCTAACCAGACCAATTCTACAGAGAAAAGAATTTGTTGTCAGAATATGATGAACTACTCTGAACTGGAACCATTGAAGTTTTGAATTTTTTGTAGTATGGAAGGGGATCTTGAAAATTTTGGCCCATTCTTCATCATTAATATCGTCAAATTCTTGATTCCATTTCAATTTACAAGATGGTGCCACATCATTCTTAATCAAGATATCATAAAACAGTTTTGTACCTCTATCTAGGTTAAAAAAGGGTTGTATGTTTACAGGAATG